CAGCCCAGAGCTCGCCATTGGGTCTCTCTACGGGGGTCCCGCGCGCCGGCCATGCTGATTGGCCGCTGGGGCTTCATTCACGCCCCCCCAGCCCTCCGCGTACACATTCACGCCCCGGGGGCGCGGTCGCCACGTGGGGAGTGGCGCGGGGGTGGCCCTGGGACCGCACCCCCTCTCGTCCTGGCTGCGTGGGCCCCGCTTTTCCCCAACGCTGGAGACTCAGAGCTCGGCCGGTCCCACATTCCACGCGGGCTGAATTCCCGCCTGCATCGCACCTGGGCGGCATGGATTACGGGCTCCGGGAGGCGCTCGGGCTCCGAGAAGCGACTCAGCCCCTGGCTCCTCTTCTCCGCAGTGCCGCTTCCTGCGGGCCGGGATTCCCGCGGGTCTGGGCTGCTGCGAGCTCGAGCTCCAGGCGGCTCGGGTTCCCGGCTCGGTTCCGGCGCGGCCATTCCCCTCTCCTGCCTCGCCTCCTGCAGCTTCCAGGTTGCCCTGAGCGCTCCTGCGCGGGCCACCTTGGCCCTTCTCGGTTTCCCGCTCCTCTGCGCGGACCTCTACAGCCTTGCCAGCACCTCGGGTGCCGACGGCGTCGGATGGGCTCCCGCTTCGGGCCTCGCAGCGACACCCTCTTCTTCTTCTGGGCGCCGAGGCCAGGTGAGTACCGCGCGGGCAGCTCCGCGCCGGGACAGCCGGCGGCAGACGTTTTGCGCGGAGACCAGCGCTGCTGTAACCCTGCCTGGTTCCCGGACGACCTCGAGGTGGAGACTGTGGCTCTGGGGAAAACACCACTAGCTCGGAGGGTTGGGGGGAGGCGGTGATGGACACCGGACCCAGTCCTGCGCGGCTGTAGCCTTCTTGCCCCAGTTTGAATGGTTCATTGGTGGTGGTCATGCGGGGTCACCCCCCAGGAATCTTGCTATAAAAGGGGAGTGGCGTGGACTCAGGGAAGGAAAAGGGAAGCTGGCACTTCAGAGATCCCTCTTGCAGACTGGGAGCTGTCCAGCCTGGTGTGGAGCCCTGGGTTGGAGTTTACCTGGACTTGCGCAGAGCTTTTCAAAAGGGAACTGAGGTTGAGGAGTTCTTGTTGGAAAAGCTGGGGGCGGTGAAATTTCACCGCCTCCTCATTTCCGCAGCTCTGAGAGCTTCCTGAAGCATCCTGAATGGAGGAGGACCCTAGCTGCAGCTCTTCTGTACCTTCTTGCCCTACCAGGCCCTTTGCCCCCTCCTGACCCCCACATGGAGGTTTGGGTCCTGGAGAGTTTTTTTTCCATTGCTAGTTCTCTCTCTCTCTCTCTCTCTCTCTCTCTCTCTCTCTCTCTTTTTGTTCTTGGTCTTCCTTCAAATGGATCTACAGATTCCAGGGCCCTGGGTACCTGATCCTAGGACGGAATGAAGGTTCAGCTAGCGCTTAGCTAGGGCCAGACTAGGTAAGTCAGTACTGTGTAATAAAGCCTTAGGGTGTGAAGATAGGTGATGGGGGCTTGCTTTAGAGGCAGCTGCTGTGAAGATATTTCAGCAGGTGGGACAGAATCGACAGTGACAAGTGTTATTCTGGATAAAGATGATGCTCATCCGAGCCCTGAGTGCTCCAAGTCCAGTCTCTGACTGTTCTCTGGAGGGAAGGATTAGGACAGGACACAGCCCTTGTCTGGCTAGTGGCTCTATTTTGAACAGGGTCCTTTAGGTCTCATTTTAGCTGCAGAAGCTGTAACAGATCTCTGTGCCTGATTCTAGCTTAGGATCCTGGGCTTTCTGGACTCTGGTCTGGGCAGTGGTCACTTGGAGGCAACCCAGGGTCTCCCACTCAGAACCAGGAAGTAAGATCAAGGCTGGGAGTCCAGCAGTGAAGTTTTGTTTCACCCCAACCCTAATCAGCCCTAACCTAACCCAGCCTGTGTGACACTGAAGCCTGGGCTTCCTTTTAATCTGTAACTGCCACTATCTTTCTAGGTAAGAGTAACTCTGCTCCATCCTCTCTGGCCCTTGGTTTTCCTCCTTGTAAACTGGAAACACAAAAACAACAAAGGAATAACAACAACACCCCCCCCAAACAAACAAAAAATCCTCAGTATTAGAAACAGCTCTTTTGGCTCACTAGGGTGATATAAAACAATGGAAATGAAAATCCCTCAGAAGGGGCTTTTACTCTGGTCTAGTGGGTGGGCAGGCAAGGCACTGCCTTTCTTTAGCAAAGTCATAGCTTCTCCTCTGTAGAGGAGGCTTATGGAGGTTTGAAACATACTTCTAGCTGTGATGGTGTACGATTTTATACAACTGATTCCGTACATCTCCTCCTGGAGAATGGGAAATGTCCAGATAGTGGACACGTGCATTGATGTCCAGGTTTTGAGGTTGCCACTGAGGCTTAGAGAATAGGGACCAATAGGTAAGGTGCTTTAAAAAGTACTTTCCTAACCATCCTTTTGCCAAGCATCACCACCCTCAGCATGTAGGTTAAAAAGCATGAGACTTGCTGGTGCATTCCTGCCTGTCCTCCTCATTGCTGTGGAGTGGGGGAGGCTGCCTGAGGAATGGCAGCTGAGACTGTCAGAGTAAAGAGAACCTGAAGTCCTCACCCTGGCAGCTCTCAGAAGCAGGCCAGGGCCAGCTGGCCCTCCGGAATCTGTGTTCCCAGTTTAGTGCTGAATTGAGAGTTGTCTATAGTAGCCAGGCTGATGGTAGGTTTCCAGCTTGTTGCCCATCACCCTCCATTAGCAGCATGTGATTTTGTGTGAAATTACTTTGGAGCCTCAGCATCTCCATCTTAAAATGGGGATAGTAATGCCTACCGTTTCAGGATTGCTCTGAGACTCCAAGGATATGATAAAGCATGTGATTTAAGTGTCCTTTACATATTAGACACTGCCCTAGGGGTGATTAGCAGTGTGAACTAAAGGGAAGGTAAAAATGGCTTTGGAAATTTTAGACCTTGTATAATGATCTGGGTTTGTCTTGAGTCACAATTTTCTTGGGAGTTAAGTTTTTCCCCAAAAGTCTTAACATTCTCCTTCTTCTTGTTCCTGGAGATTCGATGTGGGACACTGGGGGCTGTGACACAGCTCCTGGCAAATATCTGCAGCTGTAAGTTTTGATCTGTCTAGAAGTACCAACTTTACAGATCCTGAATAGAACTCTATATTACAACACTCAACTGAAGGTGTACATGCCAAAGCTGGACACTCACCTGACCCATGCAGAAACCAAACGCCCAAGGGACACACACACACACACACACACACACACACACACCAGGTAGTTTAACACCAGACAAATATTATTGTTTCAATATAGACCTACAGACGTATGTCATTAGACCAAATATTCAGAGTTACACAAAGCAACACCTAATGATAAATACAGGCATATGTCTAATTGGGGACAAACAGGGAACTCACGTATAGGCTGAACTAGGCCCACAGATAGTTAAACACATGAGACCTCTAGGCTGTGGGGGTCATAGACACTCACAGCTGGCATGTGCCATTATCCACACCATCATATTTATTAGCACACACACACACACAGAACCAGCCATGCACACTCTCAAATGCACAGATACAAAGAGCCTCGTCTCTATCCTGCAGATATGCAGACATCTACAAACTCATAAGGGACCAGACATCAGAAAAGCATTGTGTCCTGCCCAGAGTTTTTTCTATATGCAGTTTTGTAACAACAGTAGGCCCAAAGAGCCAGAGAAGCTCTTGTTTTCCTGTTTTTCTCCCATTCTTCTTTTCTTGTCTGTGGAGAACAGCTCTCAGTGAGGCGGCTGCTAGCCTCCACAGGCTCCAGGGCCTCCCTCCCCAGCGGGCGGGGGCGGGGGGGGCGGGGACCCTACCCAGCCCAGCCCCAGGCGGGAGCTGCATGGCTTTCCCAGAGCGGGGCTGCTTCCTCCAAGCTCTGGAGTGTGACCGAGCGCCTGCTCATTTGACACAGGTCACCGAGCCTCCAGCAGATGGGGCCCTCGCTGTGGGG